CACTTTGCAGACAGTTGCTTCCTGCATTTTGGGATGAAGATGCTTACCCCTCGAATTTGCCTGATATAAATCCGCTGGATTATGCAGTCACGGTTGCAATGGAGAAGAAGGTCTCTGCAACACAACATGCAAATCTGGACTCGTTGAAAGCATCCATTCTGAAAGCGTGGAATGAGATCACGGAAAAACAGCTATATAAAGTTGTCAATGGCTTCCCGCACCGTCTTAAGGCTTGTATAGATGCAAGGGGTGGTCATTTTGAATATGGGTAATTTTGTTGTGTTGCTAAGACTATTGTGCTCCTTCACTTGCTGACTTGTAGTTCAGGTGTAAATATTAAAAGAGCTGCTGTAAAAATGCTGATGGACAGGACTTTCTGGTCACCCTGTAGATCTCAAATCTACCACTACGTTGAGAAACACAAACTCAGTCTGTCCAGCCATTAATCTTTATAGTTCGAATAGTAACTTTTGGTATTTTAGCCCACTCCTTGCGTAGAGAATCTCATAGACCGTGATAATTTTGGTGTTGACCTATGCCTCGAGAATAGACCGGATGCAATAGTCCATGGATTAAGGTCAGGCAAACTTGGCTGTCATTTGTCTTTGGAGATGAAGTCAAATGCATGGTCATGCAACTACTGCTATGAGATGTTCACGGTGTGTGAAGTCACTCCATCCTGTTGGAAAGTCCACTGAGCACATGGAAATAATCGTCTGGACTTGGGCAACATGACACCTTCCAAAATCCTATCGTGATAGTACTGGGCATTGATTTTCACCCCTGGATCCATGAAATGCAGCGATGTATGTCCGGAGCTGCACACCCCTACAAACACCATCACACTCTGAAGATTCTGTTGGCGGAGTACTGACCGACATTGCTCTGGAATTTCATTATACCTGACTCACCAAACCCTATCATTTTGAGCATTTAGGACCTGTTCCATGGTAAAAATTTTCTCATCTGTAAATAGGACCTTTTCTCTACTGATGTGGGAGTGAAACAGGTCAGCAGTGCTTGGGAACAATCAAGCCTTTTTTGGCACTGAAGAGCAGTCAGAGCATGGCATTTACGAGCCTTGAAGGACTTCAAGTCAAGATCATTTTTCAATACTCTCTTAATTGTCCTTTGCAAAACACCATATTGGCGAGCAATTTTCCTGGCCAACCTGTGTGGATTTCTTGCAATCAGCTTCTTCGCGTTCCTTTTAAGGTGCTCCATCCTAGCCGAACATGGTCACCCAGATCTCTTGTGGTCTTTCACACCACCAGTGGCTTGAAACTTTCAGATGGTGTATTCAACAATAGGCTTCCTGGATTTGTTCCAATTCAGTGCATGCAAAATTGCAGTACATCGATTTCCTGCTTCAATGTGACCACAGCAGCTCTTTCGCTTTTGAGCATCATTATTCTGCAAGGAATGCACACAGACTGTTTTTATGTAAGCATTGCATAGTATACACACGTACCAACTCACTGCATAATACCATTAAATTCAGCAGAATCACTAACACTGCATAGTGAATGCATTATTTTGCTTTAAAACTTGTTACACCCTGTTTGTGGCATCAGCCTAATGAGGGTGAGAAGTGGGAAATGTCAATCAAATTGGCCTCCCTTGAACCCAAGGGGTTGCTCTGTTCCTTTTTTGAGGGGAGAAGGAGCTAAGATGCCACCTACCTGCCTTGTATTTTTAATATTTTGGGAAGTAGAGGGTTGAAAGGAGAGGAAGCTCTACCACTGGTTTCCTTCTTCACTCCCCCTCTCCCCTCATAATCATACAGTTTTCTCTTTGGTCCCAGTGCCGCCTGACATGCTAATGTCTTCCTTTGCTCATCTCTCTTGACCCTCGATTTGAACAGATGCACTATATCACCTTTGGAGGAATCAATATGAGTCACCTGAAGGCCCCCCCCCCACCTCAAAGTCCTGTCAAATGATCATCCCACTCCCAACTGGTGCATGAACATAACCTTTTAATGGACAAATTTTTTATATGTGCAGCCTTCCCAGAGGACAGAGTTGGTTGAACATTTTCTAGGAAGTATATTTCCCACTGCTCATGAAAGGGTTATTTGTAACTAGAGTTGCAATTCAGATACAGATCTGTCATTCCATTGATCCACATAGATGTCTCTTTGTGAGCAGGTGCTACAACCTGTCTTTCATTAATAACACTCATCAATTCTCTAAATAACAGCATAGAGGTGTATGTACTAATCACCCAAACTGTAATGGTTGCTATAGCATCTGCAGGCAGGTTTAATGTAAATCAAATTTTTAGTGAATAGTCAGGGATGGTGCCATAGTGTAGAGAAGAAAGTTGGAACTTGGTCAGAACAGATTTCCTATTAACTTCAAAGGTTAGGGTGTATTTGGAAAATTTGAGGGTTTTTTTCCTTCTCCCATTTGAGGTGTACTGGAATTTAAAAAAGGCAACAGGAGAATAAATACCAGATGTGGCGTGACACTCCTGTTAACGACTTAGTCAATACTGCCACGTGCTACCCAGGCTGAGCACAGCATGCATATAGGTATCAGTAGCAATTGCAGGCAGAATGAATGAAAAGAAAAAGTAAGAAAAAAAGTAACATAACAAAATATTTACCATTTCCCTAGAGGTCACAATAGGAATTGTTCATGAAGATAATTTCAGGCTCCACCTGATATAAGAAAAAAAGAATGAGTGGTCACAGAAACAAGGAGAATGTCTCCTTCAAAAATTGCAGCTTGCCTTGACCATCCCCTTCACACAAATTAATTTTCTCTTGACCTTAGTGCATTATGAGCTCTCTGTGTTCCAAGCCTCCTTAGGGAATCTATTCTTGCATCTTTCTGATGCTTTGAAATTGTCTCTAAGTCTTAGTCAAAATAAGAGCCCTGCCCTCTTGTCAGTACTGTTTGATAGGACTTTTCATCCTTGGCACTTAAAATGCCAGGTAATTGGGGGTGGAATATATTGTTCATGACAGCATACTACTTGATTGCTATGCAAAAACAGGGAACTTCCTCCTATCTTTAATATTTAATATCTTTAATATCAGCTGAAAAAACAAAGGGGTCCCACTTACCCCAGGCAACTATAATATAGATACCAATGAACCCTGTTGGCATGGCTTGTACTGCTTTGGATTATTCTAAATGTACTTGTTCTTGGCTTCCCTTTTTCTAAAATAAAAAGATGCAAATTTTTTTTCTGATGCAGAAGCAGTGCTGAGACATGCAATGTTTGTAAGCCCTAAATTTGATTTGATTCCCAATCATGAACATTCTTTTTTGTGTATTATTCATGTAAGTGGGAAAAGGAAAAAACTTTGAGGGGGAGAGTCATGACAAAGGTGAAGGATTAATCAGCAACCTCTGTTTTTTAATCTTAATTTTATCTAAATTGTTTCTCATTAGCAGTTTTTGATGGGTGTGCATGGTCATGAAAAAATTGCATGGTATTCTACATTCAGGGCTTTTTCTGGAAAATTTAACTTCAACAATGTAATGTACAAATAACAGAAAATGTTTCACTATTGCAATTGGGAGTATTAGTCAAAATGCAAATGAGAGTGGCAGTTTCAATTCAAGTTCCACTATGTTTTGTCTGATGTCATTTCATTATCAGACACAGAGTTGAAACTTGGGAGACTATTTCACTACTTTTCAGATGTGCCTATGTCAAATATGAACCTCACATGTCCCATTAGAGATTTCAGCCATTATATCATCTGATCGGGGAAAACTGGGGAAAACCCAATGAAGGTAAATCCAAGAAAATTGGCACCCTAATTTTCTTTAACTAATATATCTTTAAATATATAGATGTGCAAAGTGAAGAGATTCCCTCGAAAAACAATCTAGGTCAACCGAGATACAGTGAGCGATGAATTGACTCACACAGACATCAAGGCAAAATGTATGAAAGCATAAACATAGGATGTCCATCCGCAGCAGACCCCTAGCCTAAGTGGACTAAAGCAACTGAAGAACTGCGAAGCAGCCATGAAAAAAGAGAAAGTGAAATTACCCTGAAGTTCAACCAAGTCGTATTTTAATATATAGATTTTTTTTCTCAATAATTTTGCATCCTTGAAAATGTTATTATTTAGATTTAGTTAATTCAGATGTGTTCAAAAACCCCTCTCTTATTTTATTTTGATGGATTTTCTCTGCACAGTTATGATAAAATAAATTATGTGAGGCCCACATTATTTTATATTCCAGTGGTATGGAGAGTGCATGAGAAGGAGATTTCATTATATTCCAATGGGCGAATAGTATAATTTCCTGATGGGTAGATCTTTGCTCTTTCCCACAGAGTGCTCGGTTGACAAGTGGGAATAATCCAACTGCTGGGGCTGGAGAAGGAGAGGGAAATGAGGATGGGCATGAGAGTGGAGATGATGATGACGATGATTACGTAGTTTCTTCCTCATCTGATGACTCCGATAGTGATGCTGAAGGAATGCCTCGTGCTGTTCAGTGTGCTCCTTCTTAATCTTCTTTTCGTCATTTTCTTTTCTTCCTGTTGTCCAGTTGATGCTAATTCATCCATATAAGAGGACAGTGCCTTGTTTCCTTTCTAGCAAGTCCCTGTCTTGCTATGCTATCATCTCATCTCATCTTGATTTCCAGCCCCTAATCATACAATCACCTCTCCCTCTTATGATTGCCATTCATTTATTCAGATAGGGTCTGTGATACTCTCTCCTCTCATTAGAAAGAAGCAATCATGAGGGGAATGGTGATGCGATGTGTCCCACCTCATTATGTGAATGATAGGGTTTGATGCCTTTGTTTGTGTGCTAGAAATTCATACCTTTCAATTGCAGATGCTGTTGAATGTGATCCTATAGATGCATCTTTGCTTACCACTCCCCCCTTTTCTTGGTGCCAGTGGGTTTTTAAGTTCTTGAGATTTTTGAGCTTTTTTTTGTTCATCTTTGATCATAGGATATGAACATCAGAGACCAGAGAATCAGTAATAAAGGTATACTCTAACTATGAGATTTATGATATGTTGACTCCAGCATAAACTTGAAGTGCAACAAGACCTGAGCCTAGAGTAAATACAGCTTTGACTATAAGCACACTCCAAGCACCCAGGTGTGCACTTCTTGTGATGAAATCCATCAGGATGGGTTTGTAGGACATGGCTAAAAGTAGCATGGTGATAACAGGGAATACTGTTTGGCTCAAATCATGTCTTGACCATAGCCAAACCAGAGTCACTGTTGTCAGATGCCCAACCTATGGATGTAAAAAGGAATGAAATGCATGTCATACCATAGGTCTATTTTTGTTGGTAAAGATGGTCTAGATTTTGACTCACAAGGTTGATATTGGATTCAATGCTCATCTGTATGTATTTCCAATTGAACTCCACACCTCTTGCTCCAAACCACATGGGAACAAGTCTTGTCAAAAATAGTTCTGCTGTTGCCCAACCCAGACCTGCTGCTAAGACCTTCAAGTCTCCCTTCCCCGGAATTTGGTTCATCATCATGGAGATTCCAACCAAATCAGCAAGATCAACAGTCGTCTTGAGTAATTCCTGTAGAAAAAAATACATTCATGAAATATTCTATGCCACTAGTATCAACTATAATTTAGGATAATTGTAATTTAATTCCTTTGCTGATGAGAGGTAATCATATGAGGTGTGACCTACCACAGCACATTGGAAATTAACTGTGACCTACACAATTTGCATGGTATAAAATACACCCTTTTTTAACATGATTTTATTTTCCAAAGCTACTTAGGCCTGTAAATTTCATCATTTGACTATTGTCAAGTTTCACATTAGATTAATCGGTGAACGTAGACTTGACATCCCTAATGAATACCTCAAACCTATTGTTTGTGGGGTTGAGACCATACCACCAAGCCTCAATGAGGTGCCTTATCAGAAACTCAAGCATTGTCCCATGCATTTTTTAAGTTTTATCTTGCAAAATGCCCTCTTCACAGAGTCAGTTAACTGCACTCTCCTTGGTACTGATTATTGAGTAAAAAATCTTGGCGTGGCATCTACTGCTGCTGATAGAGCAACATGCCTCTATCCACCCCAATATGCATGCGGTGGCAGATCCAGGGGGGGGTGGGGGGGGGGGGGGGGCTGCCCCCCCCCCCCCCCCCCCCCTACCAGGGTTGCATTCTATTTTTTTCGTTTAAAAGACACCAGTGGATACAGAAATTTTTCATAGGGGGAGAGGGATTCCCTAGTTCTAACAACCCCCCCCCCCCCCTATGGCCAGGTTTGCATTCTATTTTTTTAGTTTAAAAGGCACCTACATTAATCTTTATTGGGCCAGTGAAGTAGATATCCAAGTTTTTACCCTAGACAAAAAATGAAAATGGCAGTAGGATGGAGAGTGATGGTAGGTTAGGGGGGAGGGGGGTTGTTAGAACTAGGGAATCCCTCTCCCCCTATGAAAAATTTCTGTATCCACCACTGTATGCATGTGACCCCACCCATGCTTCCCATTCAGTGACACTGACAGGCATTGGGAGCATATTTGGGGAGAAGGGGGGGAAGGTTGAGTCTGGGTTGACTGTTGATCTCCCCTCCCCCTCAAAATAAACCTTCCAATATGCCTGTCAGGTCATCACACAGTGTTGTCGTTACAGTGTAGTGTAAGACACCACCCCACATGGTAGGTCACACCTCATACCCAAAGAGCTGTGGTAGGTCACACCTCATATGATTACTGACATGAGATACACACTAATTCTCTATAGACCACTTCTACAACCTATGAACGCAAGGGGGGAGGTTCAAGTACACTTACTTGTAGGTAATCTCCAGGTACATCCGTTGCTGGGAAGAAGGTTGCAAGAATAAGCATTTTGCAGAGTTGAGTCACAACATACATGAGTCCTGCTTGAACACATTTCCAAAACACACCATACTCAGACCTATAATGCAAAAGCAAATAATAAAAAAGAAGAATGTTATCCAAAAGTTGTCCTAAGGGCCCAAACATCAGGCCCATGATGGCTTGAAATATAGGAGGTTTTGTAAGTCACTCTACCATTTCAAAAAATCACATTATTAAACAGCTGACACAAAAACAAAGTAAATAACATGAACAATAGCATGTCATTTGGAATTATCTTTGCCAAAAATGGAGGTATTTCTACATTTTGAAAGTGCTTCAAACTCCCCTTTGCCTATATCAATACATTTGACATGAGGCTTGACAGAAAAGAAAATAGTTGAAACTCCCCTTTAACTCTGTTGGGGCACTAAAAGACCTCCATCCAGGCTGCAAATTTTCTTCATTGCTCCAATATCTATTTTGAAGCCTTTTCTCATGACAGCAAAAGCAAATGAAATGAAATAACTTTTTTTATTTTTCTCAATTTTATCTGAAATTAGGAGAAAAAAACAAAGTTAAGCACATTTTTAGAAGAGGATTCAACAAAAGTGTACCAAAAAGTCTTTAAACAAGTACACCTTTCCAATATGCATTTGCAACAAGTTCAATTTGAGTCTGATTCATGTTCATTATTGTGAAAAAAAATTATAAAGCAAATTCGTTCTATCAATACTAACAGTAACCTGCTTGTTGCAGTTTGAAATGGTATAGTGATTTACTGGACATCCTGCACAAGCTTCCATATACCTAGACCAGCATTGCCACCTTTGAATTTAACAAAATATGGACACATGGACAAATATTCAAAGTTTACTTGCATATGCAGCTATGCTGTTAACACATTCATGTCCAGCAACTGCAGTACAAAATGGGTTTAAAAACGGGTTATACGGTTTTCGGTGTCAATGTGTTAATCCCCACAGCCATCTTAAGTAAGGGCATTTATCAATGCAATAAGAGTGCAGCCTACTGCTATTGACTAACAGTAGGGGTAGATTTTTTAATAGGAAAGATTAAGTTTTTAAGAAAATGCCCAAATGTTAGACTTTGCAATGTGGAAAAGGCACCAGAATGAAAGGAAGGGCATCTGGTCACCTTAACTTAGAGAAAAGCGTGGTTTTAGCTGCTATTAACCTTTATTAATGTTAAAAATTTTAATTTTAAAATATGGACAGTATCCATTCCATATTAAAACCAGTTTGCAATATGGACATTGCATCTGAAATATGTACTGTCCATACTAACTATGAATGGGTGGCAACCCTAACTTAGACCGATATTTACCTCAAACCATATTCTACCCTGGCCTGAAGTGAGCTGTAAGGTAAGAAATGTTGAATCACAATAAAAATAAAACTGGAGAAGCAGAAAATGCACTTACATTCCAGAGTACTTGTAAGTGAAGAAATATGGCAGATATGCAAGCGCGAAGCAATTCACAAAGTGATATAGTGTCATTGTGATGGATGTAGCAGCGGCCACGAATCAGAGAGCCAAGTTTTGCCAAGGTTCAGGAAACACGTTTACAATGGCATGTGTTTTAACGATTCTTCAAGGGGATTCGCATAAATCGTGTTGCGAGTTTCAGGGAATCGCCATGTCAGTTCCTTCCGTCGAGTCGCTCTCGGGTTGAAATGTTTCCCTTTCTAACCAAATAATTTCTTGATCCATTTCGAGTGCAGACTATGAGATCCACTCTCCGTATAAATTAAGATGTTGGTTAGCACATACCTCAATATCAAGTCATAACTTGTAGGCGATTTTTTTGCTCCTTAAATCTGATTCAGTAAGCAACTCTACTCGTGAGTTTCCAATGAAGATTGCGGTGTGGACTTAGAGCATAGGCAAAGCAAAAGTGATTGCTAGCCTTCACGAAGGCCAAGGAGGGTAAGAACTTTTTCAAAGAGTTTGGCTGACTAATTTAGTCGTAATTGCAGACGGTTAGCCAATTCGGCATGACTGCATTGGTTATATATATATATATTTTTATTTTTTATTTTTATTTTTTTTTGTACCCTTCCGTTTATCTGCAATGAGAGTTTTGCTGCCTTTAAATCCTGGCCTAGGCTTATAACACCCGAACATTCAGGATTGCGGTGGATATGACAGCCGTAGGTGCTCATCTGAACCCAAAGAAATTCGATACCGAGACACTAAGCATAGGCCTAACGTTAAGCGCTTCTTGAAAGTGCCAACTGTTCGAATGGTTGGTGGTACTTTGATGACTATGCTGTGACTTAAAATTGAACACGCCCCCGCCGACCACTACCAGAAAGACCATGGAACTACGTTCAGGTAATGAATCAATTTCTTCGCTTCAAAATAATAGACCTGTATAGGCTAGACACAGGAAATCATTCTGAGAAGTTATTGATTCGTTCGCAGTCTGATTCATATTAAAACAATGCAGTGCTAAAGCGATTAGGTATGTGTATTGGAAAGGAACTTTTTGCCGCATGAGGTTGGTGGTATAGGTTACAACGTGAATTCAACGCCTCCAACATAGCCGTCGTTTTCGGACTTCATCCCAACTGCTAGCACGTGGGTGTTCGCCGTCCCATTCATTAGGCCTTGTAATGTGATTCTGAAGCTATAAGGTGATATCCTTTCAGTATTCTGCGAATTGAAATAGTGATGCTGTTAACTGATGAGTTTGTAAAAAAAAAAAATCGCAGATTTTTTTGATTGATTGAAACTTGGAAGCTGGGAAAGGGGCTAACCACGGCTACAGGGGTGCGTAGTCAAGAGAGGACTCTTTGCAACGCCTACTCCTATTGGTCGTGGCTCTGCGCAAGCGAACCAATAAGAATGAAGGTAACAACTGGTGCGGGTGTCTCGGCGCCGTTATTACGGGATTGGCGATTGGGGAGCACGTGACATGGACGCCAATCCTCGCTCATGCTCATGGAGACGCGACTGTGGTTTCAACTCAGTCCAGCACGGGCCTGGGCCTTAGCATTGGACTACATAGACCTTCGTCTGGGCCTCGCTACCTTGGTACTGTTGTTGGTGCTTGGAAGCTTTGGTTATAATGTACGCGGATTCCTTTCTTCTGGTGGTGGAATGCAGACCTATGCGATCAGGTCTTGGAAGTTACAAGTCATACCATAGCTTAGCATTCTGGGCCTACCTTAGGTTTGTACGTAGACTTAGGCCAGAACACAACACGGACTTAGTCTAGACCCAGGACTAATCATAAGAATTGCACGTGAGGGTCGACATCTTGCAGAGGATTATTTTTTAGTTTAGGCCAATGGGATCCATACGAAGTAGGCACAGGCTATGTCTAGAGAGGAAGAATACCTGGTAAAAGCATACCAGCTATAGCCAAAGAAGCTTGCAGTTCAGAATTTCTTAGGTGTTCATGAGACAGTAGATATAAATATATCACGAACTGCTTCCATCTATATTCTCCTTAAAGTTTCCTTGCATTCATCTCCAGCTGTTTTATCTAACCAGCAATTTGTTAGATAAAACAGCTGAAGTTTTATTTTCTGCTTGCACTGTGACACTGACCTTCAGAACTGTAGCATTGGCTATAAGTTTATAGTTCTATTGGAGGATTTTCCTCACTTCTCTTCAGAGTCCATAACAGGTCTCTGTCTCCTAGTGTTCATGGATGATTTTTGAATTCCTGGATTTTGAGAAATAATTTCTTCCACTTGAGTGCAATCTTCTATATATAGTTAGCCTGGAGTTCTTTCTCTTCCCCTCTGGTGAACCAGCTTTCCACTTTTTGCTTCTAATTCTATCAATGATACCTTTTATTTATTAGAAAGTGCTTGCCCTACCCATCCTTTTTTTGTTATTATTATAAGCCTTAATCATGGTGTCCCTATTTCATGGACCGAGTGACAGGCCTTGACCTGAAAGAGCAAACTACATTTATTATTCCCTTTCACATATGACACAGTGATATTTTCACTCATGCAAAATCAAATTTGGGTTACACTTAGAAAATTCCACCTGTGGTTAAACAACTAGAGGAAAACAGGCTATTTGAGTGTGTAGAGGATGAAAGTCATAATAAATGACTTCAGTCTTCTGTCTGCTTCCCTCTCGGTGTCAAAAGTTTCAGAAAACTGCAGTTATTATGCATCCAGGATATAGTTTAGCTTCTTTTGTGTTTCATAAATAAGTATTCAATATTTATGGTTTAGTATATATGGGTGGGTGCTAGTTGTACATGAAACTCAAAATAGGTAAATGAGGCATGCATTGCAAGTAATTATGGGTGCATTTTTTATGGCCCCCATTTTGGGCTGTTTCCATCCTTCAGAATCCCAAGCATGAAGTGGGCAATTATGTGCCAGGTTATGATAGGTCTGGGTCTTCATGGTGGCGGCAGCCATTCTCTTGTGTGACGTGGCACAGCGTCTCCTGTTTAGTTGGTTAGGTCATGATAGGATGTGAGACACCCCATGTTTGATGGCCACTGCCATCAAACATGCATTGAGGTACCCTTGAAACTTTCTTTCAAGGCATTAGTATGAGATCCCATGTGAACAAATGAAGATTCACATTGAAGTATGAGTACTTAAAAAGAATTTGCTTTGGTGAATTACAATGTATGTCTCAAGTTTTTAGTATGATTTAGTTGGAGATGAATTGGACTGATTTTTTTGGTTTGCTTATGGGAAACAGCAGATGGGATGAGACTGAAACAAAAAAAGTTAGTCTCAAATCTGTGGCCTCCTATATGTCAGAGTGTGAAAATTGTAACTGAAGTTTCCACTATGCATGTATTATTAAGATACACTGACACTAAATGTGTAAGTGTATCATTCTCTCAAACCTCATCCTTCAATTCCTGTAAACCTGGGATGGTGGTAGGCCAAGGCATGTTGCATTTCTACCCTCTTTGTTGTACGTAGTTATATGTCTGTCATAGCATCATGATAATCTATGCCAGCCATGTCCTTAAGTAATACCTAAAATATATTCTTTTGCATGAAACATCTAAGCTTGGTATTAGTTAATATCCTCCTTGAAATTTTTTATTTTCATCTATTTTTATTTCCTCTCACTTGTTTTGCCATTCATGAATGAAGTAGAAAAAGGGTGGATTTTTGAACAGAACACTATCTGATAATGCAGCTTTATTTACCAGATTTATCATGCATTTTCTCTAAAATAAAGTTGCATTATCAGATGTTCAAAATCCACCTAAGCATTGGACATTCTTGATTTTTATTTATTGACTTCATACCAACACATCTGCATTTTTCTGACCAAGGTAATTTCCAAACTCATTTCATTGCTATTTATTTTACAAAATCCAGGTTTAGGGTTTACCAACCCCTCCTAATAATAATTTTCAGCATGTTTCATGAAGATGCACTAACTTCTCTTGTATATCCAGTTTGATTAGCTTTGTGATTCCTAGTTCAGGTTGTATCATTATCCATATGGAGTGCCTTCCTTAAATGAAATGTGGTCCTTGAGGTTATGGCAAAGTTGAATATATTTTTATGTTTCACAAAGGTAATTAACTTGCCTTTTCCTAGGGTGGGAGTCATATATTCTACTTCTGAGAATCTCATGATGTTGGCTGCATCATTGCATGGGAAGATGAGCAAAGGATTCCCATTTGATCATGGTTGTGAATGCTTGTGGGCTCTGTTGAGTGGATTTGCACTTCTCCATGTTCGTTTTCAGTGTTCAAGAGAAATCATCAAGTGATCACAGGAAGGAACTTAGTGTGTTAAATACTGTTGTTGTCCACCTATATATCTATTCCACATTGGTGATAAGAAAACATCGTTGTGGCGACTCCACGGGGACAGAGCTGGGATTATTGGTTGGTAACTGATGTCCAGGAGAACTCTGTGTGGTGCTGCAGTGAATGTGATAAGGTTCAGTCGTCCATGGTGGCACTTGTGGATTTCCCTGTAGTTGAGATGGACTCAGCTCAGGCTCCACTGTTGCCTGCTAAGTGGCCCCCTCCCAACTCTGTTCTCAATAATGTTGCTTCTCATTTACTCACCGCAAATGCCCCGTTGAGCTCTGGACACTCTTCCATGGAAAAACATTCATGTAAGTCTCTATTATTTTATGCCTGAAAATTCATAATTGGATATGCTGGAGACTTGAACTGTAGCTTGTTCATAAGAACTTGAGAAATATTAAGAAAGTTAAGAAATGTGACATGCATGGACCCAGTTGATTATGGGGTCTTTGGGCTGAATCTCACTAATACAGCTTGCCCAAAATAAGGTGAACATTTTCTCTCAGGTTTCTTGAGGGTGAATTGCATATCAATTAGAGGTTCTTCATCTTTGAGTCAATATACAACACCTAACTAATTAACAGGGCATTAACCTGATGGCTGAAAGGTGGATGAGGACTTCATCATGCTGTTATATAATCTGTTAGTGCTTCTGAAATAGTCTGGTTTTTTTTCCCCCAAGAATGCACTTGATGAGGGTGCTTAAAAAGGGAAGAGCAGATTCTTATTATGAAGTGAGCACGTAAAGAGTAGGCCATGGCTTGGAGAAAAGCATGATTCATGTTATTCCCTCATGCATATATGCACTTCAAGGCGGTGGTCTAGAGAGTGGGAAGGAGAAAGAGAAAAGGGGAATGAGCTAAGTAACGGAAGTGAATTCTTTTCATACCTACATCTGAATTCTGGACTGCATCTCTTGCTTGCTTTGTCTACCTCGATCGCTGCCTTCTTTCAAATTTCGCTCTTGGCTCTCGAACTGTTAGTTTGATATGGGACAAGATATCGCGTATGTATGGGAATCATGGCAGTGTGGAGCATTAGAACAGGGGACTCTTCATGTCTCGAGAAGCCCCAGCTTCTCACATGACTGGCATTTTCCTTCGTAAAACAGGTCGAGAAAGAGGGAGAGTTATGTAGTTACGTGATCAGTTTTTCTCATTTTTAAATCACACCCTTCACTCCCTTACTTTCTGTAGATTATTTAGTTGAGGTGAACAGCGATGGAGAGATGCGGTACGGTATCTCTGTGCGCGTATTCACGTAAAAAAAAAAAAAGAAAACCCACGGTGTAAGAGTCGGACGGAAGGAAGAAGAGGGAGGCGGTCTCCATGCCTGGAGGCAGTGGAGGACAAGGGGGCATTCACCGACCTTGATGTCTATGTGCCTTCCCCCCTTTTCCTTCTCCAGACACGACTCTCGCTCGCTCTCCCTTCTGTCGTGTATCTGCTGAATCGTATAAGGTTTTCAGCCGAGCTGATGCAGTGGCGCATTTACACCGCTACAGACGAAATCGGGTGTCGACCTTTGACATTCACTGAGGAGGATGCGGGGGAGGGAGGGGGAATCCCATGTCATTCCATGAATGGATCGATCCCATGCCATGTCATACCTCCGAGTGGCTGGCTGGCCCGTTGCCTGCTTGCTCGCTCGGTTGCTTGTCTGCTCTGTCTCGCATTCTCGGCCGCACTGTCCCCATTCCCTCTCTCCTTTCCACGTGTTCTCTTTGCCCTCGACCTCCCAACTCGACTTCCTTTTTCTATTCTTCAGTTGCACTTCTATTGTATTTAGTCATTTCTTATTTCTTCTCCACCTACGCTTGCAAACCGGCTATTATGAAATCCTGGTATCACTTAAATATTTTATTACTTGATGTAGCTCGCGGAATGATGCAACGTCTGATGTAGTTAGTTGCATGCAGTGAACGACGAAAATAGTGGTGGTAGATATATGTATTCGATCGGCAGTGAATGTTCATACACAAAATGAGGTTCATTCAGTACTCGTATGAAACAACTCTTTGTGAATTGACGTTTGTTTTCGGAAAATATTAATTAAGTAAGAGATTGGAAAAGAGAAGGCTTGGAAGCGATTTAGAGCTGGACTTTAAGGTTATTGAACTTGGTTGAGACCTCCAATTCGCACAGAATTGAATCAAGAGATTACTTTACCGGGAATGCGAGGCCACAGTGTGTTCTTTAGCCATATTCAGTTACGCCATTCAAAGTGTCCTTTGAATGGCGTAACTGAATATCGACACGCCGCCGCTTCCCGATCGGTATTGGTTTGTCATATCTGCAGATAATTTTGTTTATAAGAAGCTACGACAAAGGAATTCACATCATCTCAAATGCTAAGGTTGGTTTTTGGTTGAGCTGCGCAACGGGGAACTCCTGTTAATGGAAATTTCAGAAAATCTCACTTTTTACGAGACCAGTGGAGAGCTTGTCACCGATGTCACCCACTGCCAATTTTTTGCTGGGGTAAGCATTTCATTTCGAACGAGTTTCTTGAAGATGCCAGATGTTCTGCTGATGGAAACTTCTCTTACCAATATTCACTTATCAGTATTCATCATAATATTAATCAGTGATGCGTCAGCTTTCCGTACTAATTAATACTCGAAGGTGGTTTGATAAAACAGTCTTCGGTGTGGTACGTAAAGGATTATGGCAACCTGATAACAAACACACACACACCCAGTTTTTTAAATTGTTATATTCCCTCTGTCCACATCTGCTACAACAACCTATGTAATTCTAAATATATTCCCCCTGTGAAACTCACTTCTCCCTAATTTTACTTCTCAAACCGTTGAAAATTACAGAAAGTTATTCTGTTGTGTGCACGATAACAGGACTGTGTTACAGTGTCTTGAGAACAAATAAAAACTTGAATTATGTTTGGGTGGTAGCTTCTAGTTGCGTAGTGGTGTGTACCAGGAGTTTAGGGACTAGCGACCAATGGAATGGTGAAGCTGCACCTGGGTTGATAATTTTTTCTGGTCGGATAACCTAATGTTTGGATGACGGAGGAAGTCGATGTTCTACTGTATTGCCAAATCCAAATAAGAAAAAATTATGAAATTCCCCCATGATCTAAACGTAGTGTGCAGCCCTTAGATGGATTCATATGCTTGGCTTATCCTTGCCCAGCATGTCATCATCAGGTCTCTTCTTCTAATCTGTTACCAGCTTCCTGCCTCATATGAATAAATAAAATTAGCTATGCCAGAAATACATCAAGCAGATTAATCCACATCTGAAAGTATATTCTTTACTATTATAATACAGTTGCAGCTCTATTATAAACAGGTATGCTTTGAGTACAGAATTTAATTTTACATAGTGCTTTGCTGATGCTGCTTCTTATGGTCATATAATCTAAATTTACTTCATGCAATGGTCATGGCCTTGATTCATTCAATTGGCAGTTAGCAGTTTTGCATATTTCCTTAAGTTTTAGATCAGTGTATGATATCATTGTCTGTAATTATTTCCTGTGGGCTAGTGCTGGCTGTTTGCCCAAGAGTAACAAGACTGATGATGTTCACCTGGTTTCATCTGAATAGGAAATGTGGACATGTGACCTTGCTATCCTGATATTTTATTCATTGAGCATGCCACTGTCAAACTTTGTGGGTATATGGATGTCCAACCCATCTTGATGTACTTGAGAGATTTATCCTTAGGGCTTGTCATGAAGATGCTGATGCATTTCTCATTTCTGATTTCAAAGGGGGTGTGGTAGAATCATCAGCAACTGGGAATCAGACTTCAGGGAGACGACATGTGAACCCAGCTGTATACGGGAGGCTGTTAAATTCAGAGGATGGGCTTGGAATGGGAGACCTCCCATCACCTGGGACCAGTTCTGGCATGGACATCCAAGTCCCTGGTGCTGGGAGACCTCTCCCCATCAATAGAGGAGTTCTTGGAGGAGAATTTCGAGATCCTGCCACGGGCCCACTGAGAAAACTTTCTGTGGATCTCATCAAGACTTACAAACACATCAATGAGGTGAGGCTGCTCTGTTGTAAAAATGCAGTGGTACATATTTTGAATGGCTCAACCATGGCCTTGTGGTGTCTTTGAAATATTATTTGCTGCTGCTGTCAATTTTTTTTTTAAATTGGTGTAAATTAAGAAATATATAAGATATTGGTGCCTCATACTTCAAGAGAATACTGAAGAATGAATGGTACCATGTATGTCTTATGTAGTCAGGGGAAAGGAGGAGGAGATAGACAGAGTGAGGGATGGGTATTTTTAGGAGAGGTCTACATCACCTGAGCAAGTGATGCTCTATCTGGCTTGCTCACTCACTCTTTTACTTGCTGGCACATGAAAATCTTTCTTTATCTCTTCTATCTTTGTCATTGGCAAGGAATCCCTTTCTCCTTGTGATCTTGTCTTCATGAGGGGATGGAATTTTTTAATTGCTTTTAAAGACTCCCTATTAGGAACCATGAGGTGGAAGAATGCCATTGAAGATTACTGTGCTGATCATTTTATTTTATTTTTCTCCCCAATCTAGGTTTACTATGCAAAAAAGAAGAGACGTGCCCAGCAACCCCAGACAGAGAATAGTTTGCACAAGAAGGATCGAAAGATCTATAATGATGGTTATGATGATGACAATCATGATTACATCATCAAGCCACAGGAGAAATTTCTTGATCGCTATGAGATTGACTCACTGATAGGGAAGGGCTCCTTTGGACAGGTGAAAACTCATTGCTTGTCTTGTCATATGATTTTTAATGGAATGATGAGATGACAATCCTTTGGGTTTTTATTAACAGGTGGTGAAGGCATTTGACCACCAAGAACAATGTCATGTTGCCATCAAGATAATTAAAAACAAGAAGCCCTTCCTAGACCAGGCACAGATTGAGGTCAAGCTACTTGAAATGATGAATAAAGCTGATGCTGACAACAAGTATTACATAGGTGAGTTTCTCCACACATGGTTCATCCTTGGTCTGGAATGGGATGGTGCTATTGTCTAAATGAAATCATTTCCCTTCTCTTCCTAACAGTGAGACTAAAGAGACATTTCATGTGGCGGAATCACCTGTGCCTCGTGTTTGAGCTTCTTTCATACAACCTCTATGACCTCCTGAGAAACACCAACTTCAGAGGAGTGAGCCTGAACTTGACACGGAAATTTGCTCAGCAGCTTTGTACTGCTCTCCTCTTCCTTTCTTCTCCTGAGCTCAGCATTATTCACTGTGATCTGAAACCTGAGAACATCTTACTTTGTAACCCAAAACGCTCTGCCATCAAGATTGTCGACTTTGGAAGTTCCTGTCAACTTGGCCAGCGTGTGAGTATTAGTGAAATGTCATTATGGAAGCATTTTTATTCTGCTAACATCTATGTTTGAGTGTTATTGTGATTTTTCTTGCAGAAATACCAGTACATTCAGTCAAGGTTTTATCGATCACCTGAAGTTCTACTTGGTCTCCCTTATGACCTTGCCATTGATATGTGGAGTCTAGGGTGCATCCTGGTTGAGATGCACACAGGAGAACCTCTGTTTTCTGGAGCCAATGAAGTAGATCAAATGAATAAGATTGTGGAAGTCCTTGGAATGCCGCCTGCACATCTCCTGGATCAGGCCCAGAAGACCCGTAAGTACTTCGACAAGCTTCCTGATGGAACCTACATTCTTCGCAAGACCAAGGATGGGAAAAAGTATAAACCACCAGGAGCTAGGAAGCTCCATGATATCCTTGGTGTGGAGACTGGAGGACCAGGTGGAAGACGCTATGGGGAACTGGGTCATTCCATGGCTGATTATCTCAAGTTCAAGGACTTGATAGAACGAATGCTGGACTATAATCCCAAGACACGCATCACACCTTACTATGCACTCCAGCACAATTTCTTCAAGCGCACTACAGATGAAGGCACGAACACAAGTCATAGTGCCAGTGCAAGTCCAGCCATGGACTGTAGTGGAGTGTCAATGCCTCTTCTAACCACCAACCGCACCACCCCATCCTCTTCCTCGTCATCCAACAATCTCAGCAACAGTGCCTCTGGTTAGTATGACATTACTTCTCCAACACCAGTGTAATTTGATCCATGATTCTGATTATAGTCTCTTCTGGATAACTATATGAAAAGTGTCTTGTTGTCTCTATTGGGGGAAACAGTAAGCATTAACATTAACTGTAGGAAGCAATGATCAACCACCAATACATCCTTGTGTTTAGCCTTCACTGATATCTGATACTTGGTATTTGTATTTGTGCATCCATTTGTTAAACAGTAGCCCCATTTGCTAAATTCTTCCTAGTGATTGTTACTGGCCTTGATTTTTGCCCCTGAAGTTTAGACCATATCCAATATGTTTCTATCTTTTCCCTACACCTTTCAAAGAACACTGCCTGGAGCATCTCCAAGTATTGACCACACTGCCATACAGATGACATTCTTTATTTGCAACAAAAAGGTGGGGATTCCCTGCTTTAGGCACAATACTTGAAGTCCATTGATGTAAAGTCTGGAGACCTGGAGAGAAATGGTGAAAGCACCTGCTCAGATCTCAGTTTGCTCCAAGTGTATTGGCCAGCAGATACTTCACTTAGCTGTCAGTACAAAATGATACACCTTGGAGAGTACAAAAATCTGGGCAGGCACTTTTCCCCCCACCCATTTCACTCCTGGACTGCTGACTTGACACCAATGGATTTCTATTCACCCCCAGAGCTGCACCAGGTAGACACTACAAACTTCACAACTAGAATAAAGACATTTGCTGAGGGTGATGGTGGTATATTGAACAACTGTTGTGGCACCATCTGTAAGGGAAGACATGTCCCACCCAAACCATGTGACTTACTCCCATCAGGTTTATGCATCCCTGAAATAACAGCTCTATCATGTTCTGTCTGCTATGACATCCCCAATAGGCCCTCTGACTTTTGAAACACCCTATACATATGGACTAGGATTTGCCAAGGGAGGACAATTCCAAAGGGCTTAGAATTAACCCTTTGAGAAGTGGGTTTTTCCCAGGGCAGGATAGTGTCAGTCTGTAAATATATGGACTTACTCTTCAAGGGGTTAAACATAGATTTGTAATTCTCCCTCCATGCCATTCTTCCCATTAAAATATTTCCAACTTTTAACCCAAATCCAAATTAAGAAAGTTAGAAATGAAAGAAGGGGCTAAAGTCTTGAAGATGAGTGAACATATGATGTCTTTAGATTTGTAACTTTTCTTAAATCCAGGTGGAGGATACATGGGGCATAGAGGGGGGCAAAGTGGAAGTGGAGGACATCTCCATCATCTGTTTGCTATGCCTCTCCCACCTCCCATGGAAGTGGAACCTGCTCACCATCATCATGGACAACAAATCTACCATCATTATCCCCCACCACCTCACTTACTAGCAGGAGTGGGAGTGGGTTTGGGTGTTGCCTTTCCTCCCAGCCACAATGGTGGTGGTAGTGTTGGCAGTAGTGTTGGCAGTGGCAGTAACAGTACTAGTGGTCATCACTCGCTGCCTCATTTACAGGCAGCTCCTATCTCCGGTGTGATCCTTGACTCGTCCAGCATGGTAGCCGGACCTGGTACCTCGAGCAATCTCGTTAGCTCGTCCTCATCCTCTTCACCGATGGTGTGTTCCGCTCAGAGCCCTGTTGTGTCATCACACTGACACCTGGCCTTCTGTTAGGCCTTCCTTTTCCTCCTCCTCTTCCCACCCTCTCTAAAATCTCTCCCCGTGTTGTTGGGAAACAATTATCTTCCTCACTCTATCTCTCTTGCCCATTTTCTCTTCCCAAAATCTGAGTAATTTATTTTCTATATTTTAAGATACAAGATGGCAACTGTGAGCGTGTCAGTGAGCAATGAGCCTTCTCCCATCCCCATGCCCTAGTTTCTCTCTTTTCTGTTTGCTTTTCTTAGCCTGTTTCCCTGACATTATAATTGACCAATGATCATTGGTCATTTTGCTCACAAAGGGACCAGATGAAATAGAAGGATATGATAGGTTGTTTGTGTGTTTGATTAATGACTGCTGATGCTAATGATTCCATATCTTCTATGAAGCGTTGTGAGTGAATTCCACCAGGGTATTGTGTTCATTTTTTCTCATCTCCTCTGCATGAAGAGGTTGGGTAGATGGCTCACAACCTTCTGCTTCTCCTTAGCAGTTCATGACCATCCTTCTCATTGAAACCTTCCACATGCTCCCTCTCACTCCATTTTCAGTCTGGAAGTTTGAGTTCTTCCAAGTGTGGTTTTTCTTGTTGCCTAGTTTGTCCATTTTCTTCTCCATGAACTTTATACAAGCTTGGGCAGGAGAGGAAAAAGGGCATGGGATGAGAGAAAACAAATTCTGCATGATGATTCCGTGCTTCTGCTGAATTTCTCCCTGACATGTTTTATGCTGCATGTACATAAGAGAGATCAAAGAGAGAAGGCAGTGGAAGCCAAGTGTGAGTGGGACTTTCACATGCACATTTTGTGATTTTGATGCAAGAGAGGAAACCAAGGTATCCTCGGCTATTTGATATTTGCCCAGGCTCCCACCCTCTCTTCCCCTCGGAAGCAAGAAGCCGAAAACTATTATTGATTGATTGATAAAAGGATATTGGACATGAACTGTCTTGCTTTTTATTACTGGAATTAATCTAGCTTGACATAATAAACAGGTGAATTGAGACCTTGAATAGGTTGGGTTTAGCATTTCCATAGAGGTCTCTCCTGGTCACTTAATGCCATGGGTAAGGGGTGACATGCACCAGATCTGTTTAACAACTGATTCATTTTCTTAATGGGCATCTATGGGAATAAGTTTATCTCGGTTAAACTGATTCCCATAGGGAACCATTGTGAGATCAGATTAGCTTAGCTTAAACGGATTCGGTGCATGTCACCCAAGATGAGTGAAATGAAAGTGGGACATAGTGGAATAGGGTGCACTTAGTCCTACAAAGAGAACCCCATGTACCTAGTCTAGAATTTGATTTTAAATAAATAGACTACCTTTGAGCATTATGCAAAATTGCACATGCTATCATTAAGTCTGTAACACGTTAGTGAACAAGTCACCATTAAGGGCCTATTACTGTTAGTCTTATTCCAGCTGCCTATAAGTTAATCCACAATTGTAGCTGGCAAGTACCATCTCTGATGCTGAAGGTAACAATCTAAAGTTTTCCCTGGAATATTCAGCAGGAAGCAGACTTGTACAGGGTGGGCAAAAAAAAAGGATAGTTTTCAACGGTACATTATAATGTACTTGAAATATATACCGTATTTTAATGCTGTTTGAGGCATTCGAAAGGGGAATGAAGCTTTAAAATGGCGTATTTACATTTCAAATATTTTCCAACAGTTTCAGAAATTTGGGAGCTCATATAAACACCAAGCAAAAATTACGTTGCCGCAGGACAGGACAGGGATTGACTGGAAGCAGCCTTCATGACAAGGTCACATGCCATCTCCCTCTGTAAAACGCGGCAAGGCAGTTTTTGTTTGCTATTCATGAGTTCCCGAATTTCTGAAACTAATAATTTATTCATTATATATTTCTTCATAATATATTCATTGCTTATTCATTATTCTTTGCCGCAAATCGCGTTTAAATATCTGCAGTGCGTGAAGTGTAGTGTATCGTTGAAAACTGTCCGGTTTTTTTGCCCACCCTGTATGTATGTACACCCCACAACAATAGAAAGGGTTCACCCAGTAAAGGTTGGCATTTGGCTCTCGAAAAAAAATCGAATCGGTGGTCCATACAATCACGAGAAACAAGAATAAAGAATAACAAGCTGGGTTGCCTGGGATATTTTTTAGGAGTAATATAGCTGTTGTTCTTTTATGTGCTTTTTTGTTAGTGCTTATTTGTCTAAGTCCGACCAGACCGACGGGGACGGGAGCACTGCTCTGGCCATTTTATTTTTATTTGTTTTTTTTTCTTATTTTTTAAAAACCCCGACCCCCCTATGACCTGCTACTGGACAGACCCCACCCTCCTGCGAAGGTTTCAGGTCGATATCTCCAACGATGTCCGAATGCATAGCGTCAGATGGACAGAGACAGAGATCCTTGCTTATAGATATAGATTGCATGTTTTTTCAATTGCTTCTGAAGTGCTGTGGAGCCTGTGTTTCCTGTCGGGAGTTTTGGTATTCCTGTGATGGAAAAAATTTACTTATTCATTTTTCAACAATCGACGGCAAGTGGGAAATTGAGTATGGATATATGAAATGTGATGCAAAGAACATCGACCGCCGCCACTGGTACGTCAGTAGGAAAGCATGTTGGGCATCAAGTTGATTTGTCAAATAAATTACACTTTCATTTCCTGCCGGAACTCGACTCAATTAACGACTGGTCGTAATGACTCGAGGTGTCAGGCGTAGAGCTCATTGCTGTCTTCTGCCAAACCCTTACCCTTTTGCTTCCAAGCAGAATTGTATCCATTAGAAAGAGCCGATATATCGGCACCTTGAGGATTCTAGAGTTAAATTAGTCAAATCATTGGTACAATGATTGGAAACTACAGAACCGGATGCCGTTTCTTTCGCTTTCAGTTCCTTAATCTCTGGAAAAACTTGAAGGCGTCACCAAGGTGTTTTTGTCAGATGAGGATGGGGGGTTCCCACACACCTACCCGACCGCGGGAACCCCAGAACTGGCTCATCAGATAGCCCATGAATGTTTTCAGCAGCTCAGGAATTTACACGCCTCTTAACACCTTGGGCCCTGCAGCCGTCATATGACGCCCTACGCCCATAGCGCATTCATATTGCATCTGTAGAGCGACACAGCTAACAAAAATAATGATAAAACTTCTGGCAGAGTTCTTTCAACAATGATTGTGCGCTGTTGAAACCTGTTTTTTTTTTTGTGGTGCACTTTGTTTCGTAATTGTCTATTAACAGCCGTTCTTGTTAACGGTGTTTGGGCTACCGTCAGTGCCTGATACATAGATTGCCGATTCTGTACCAAGCAGGCATCTCCTTCCTACCCGTGGACTAATTGAAAACTCCATTGTCTTGTGTATCCAGCCCATGCCCCGTGTTAAATGGTAATCATGGCAATCACTGTTCTGCACTTAACCTTACCTGGAGTCTACCCGATTCGCATCTCTTCCTTGCAGCAGATGTACAGGTGCTTTCCTCACACGAACGAACGAAGAGTCGTTAATTGAAGCGTGTTTCTAGCTGGGTTATGGAGAAGTATCAGGATAGGGGGTGGAGGTCGTTTCCTGACTTCTTAGACATTACGACGCAATAAAGGACTTCTTATAGGGAACCAACGGTCATTAGAGCTGGAGGTCAGGAAACTTGTCCTACAAGGTATTCCAAGGGAAGAAAGGATCCTATTGAAATCATTCAATATGGAAGTAAGCATCCTGGAGAAATTCTCTTGGAAAATCTTCAGGACTCTCCGCAGGATTCCTATAGGATCCAATGAGTTGCTCATAGGAGTCCCATAGATCTTCGCGGAACAGAGATGTTCGACCTTTTCAACCAACTGCACCATGTTACCAGCCCAAGTACCTCAACTGTTATCAGAAACAATAGGCAAAGGCTTATTGTTTCCCTTGGAGGACTGAGTATTGCAGAGCGAAGCGCTACCCCCAGACGGTTTTCTTTTTCGCTATGCCAATTATTTCACCTTGCCATCGTTTCAAATCTCGCGCACACGCACGCACCTTCAGGTTTCTAATTACAATCAACGCACAGTAAAACCAACCATAAAACCATCCGATTTTAGTACTGCTTCAAAGTATGATGTTCGCTTCCTCGAACATCGTACGTGGATCCCTGCTTCCGCAGGGATAACACGCAGAGCTCCATGTCTGTCACTTGTAACCATGGCCAACAGCTGATTGTCACTGTTGTCAGATGTAAGGTGGCCTCAAGTACAGACCTAGTACAACAAGAATTGCTGAAAAGTGCTTTCAAGGGCGTATTGAGTTAATCTGAAGAAATGTGGTACCCGTATACCTAGTCGTTTCAGCAGAAGGAATGCGTTTTACGGGCGTTACTTGTTGCTACACAACAAGTAGCGAAGAGTTACCTCGAATGCAAAATTCAACTGGATTCCTTCCATTAAGAATCTCTCGACCAGTTTTGAGTTATACATATGTCCTCGGCTGAACCATAAGGTGTGCTCTTCAACGTAGCCAAGTATTGAAATACAAGGTGCACCAAAATACAGTGTATTTTCTCAAAAAAGCCTCCCCCCCCCCCCCACCACCTCACTTACTAGCAGGAGTGGGAGTGGGTTTGGGTGTTGCCTTTCCTCCCAGCCACAATGGTGGTGGTAGTGTTGGCAGTAGTGTTGGCAGTGGCAGTAACAGTACTAGTGGTCAATTTTTTTCAAAAAAACCCCCCCCCCCCCCCCCCCCCGGGACTGGAAGCCGATTTCCCACGGAAGTCATTATGGAATGGGAGGAAGGGAGAAACAGGGCTGCAAAAAATAGAGTTTCAACACTCAAGTGTATATTTTTATGCGGATAAAATTTTAAAAAGAGAAGTCTTTTTTTTCCCGAAACAAATTCACTGCTAGTGACGGACTCCCTGAAGGTTGTGAGGCCCGGAGAAGGTGCACCCCTTGTCCTCAACGTCCTTATTTATACGAACGTGAAGGGCTTAATTGCTCTTCAGAAAAATTTGGCTGCGCACTCAAACGCACCGCACCACCTTCTACGTGATCCACATACATCGCTCAATTATTTTGACAAGTTCCATAACAGCTCTAAAGCAGCTCATCTGAGTTGGTCATAGAGACACTCGGATCTGTCCCTGTTGTTCGCGATGATATGGCACACCGTCTCGGTTGCATTCATAATGGTTCCCAACCTTGACCGAGTGACCCATCTTATGCTTATTCAAGACTTCGCAACCCATAAGGAAGGTTATTGATCAACGGAAAAGAATACAGGTAGGAAAGGGATATGTAAATATGACGAAAACTGAAAATTAGTTTCTTGCGTCCTGGGCCCTAGGCGACCCCAAGCGGAAACCCCCCCCCCCCCCCCCCCCCCCCCCCCCCCCCCCCCCCCCCCCCNAATGCTGCACCCCCCCCCCCCCCCCCCCCCCCCCTTCGACCCAAGAACGGATCGCGACCTTTAGATCGGAAACTTCCGAATCAGACGCTGTCCACAACAGCATGGATCTACAAGAGCAATGAGGTGATGGTGAGGCGTCATGCACGTAAGCTTTGGTTTTCATATGCAGGTCAGAACCAAATCGCTCCGGTAACGTTAACCTTGATACTAGCGTTCATCCTATTAGTCAGCGCCTTTCCTTTGGTACAGAATGCATACCATATCAATTTTCGAGGAGTCAAACGATGTTCACGCGCAGATCTCTCACCTCTTTCATTTCCGAAGTAGGAAGTGTGGACGAAATGCTTGGGGGAAGGCGATCACCTCAGAGGCATAGGGACCAATTTCAATCAATCTTGCTTTCTCATGCCAGTTCTTGTTTCCACCAGGCTTTCCATTCGTCAATGGTTCCATACTTGAAATTGAGTAATTCGGGAAATGGGAGTATGCCATCGCAATAGGGAGACTCATCAACAGTTGCTCTATATTTTAACCCCCTCCCTTTGGGCTGAGGCCTCAAAATGACCCTAATAAA